GGTATTAAAAGAAATTGAGGACCAAATCCAGTTGTTGGAAAATATGAATACTTCACATCCAATGAAAACTACCAAAGAAGAAACTAGTAGGTTAAATGAAATAAAAGAAAATATTAAACTAGTGACCAAATAAGAAATGGGGGAATTGAATGGGAAGGTTCTAGAAAAGTTTAAAATTTTCTATTCAGTAACAGGCTCACTGAGCATGTGCGGGAAAACCTGAGTACGTGCCTGGAACTAGGTATGGAATGTCCACATGTAGAGAACAAAAGAATGCCCATATATGGTAAAGTAGGAGGTAAGGTAGGATAATTGTGTCGTCTGATAGGTTTGTGACCTGCCACGTCAGGAATAGCTGACGTAGGTATAGGAGGAGATAGGGAGGGGTATAACTGCTGTTCCGCTTCTGTAGGAGGTGTGGCTTTTCCCTGCAACTCTTGTGAGTGCATGGTTAAAGTTTCACCACGCTTTGCAAACCGTTTTCTTTTACTAAACTCAACTTTGATAATAAAAGAAACTTTATTCTGCTACTCCGAACCTCGTCTCTGAATTTCTTTCAAGGAATTCTACAAACACATTTAAAAGCAATAAACATCTCTCTCAAGCTGTGGTCCATTTTTATAGTCTGAGATGTACAATGGATATAGAATTTTAAACCCCTATTAAATTTTAGACCCCTGTTAATATGCCATGTTTTTGAGATATAAAAACAAATCAGACCAAGAGAAATCACTTCAGAATTGTTTCTACCTTTAATATGGCACATAAGCTATAAAATTCAATCGAAAAACAAACTGAACACTTTTAGGAAGGAAGATAACAATAAAAAAAATGTACAGTAAAGCCCCAATGCCCGAGTGGCACTTGTCCATATTAGGCTGGTGGAGAGGAAAAGTCCATGCAATGCTGGCTAGTTCTGAGATCTTCAACAACTCATTGTTCTTTTCTTCCTTTTATGTTCTAGCATAGTGTGAGACATCAACTGCAGCTCCTGCCATTACTATTGGCCATATTGACTGGGATTGATGGATGATGGAATTCAACATATCTGCTTTCCATCTCAATCTAATAAATCCCCTGGCCCTATTTTTAAAAAGTCTCTTATGGGTACCATTATCACTGTGGTCTCAATTTTGTATTTCCATTGGCTAAAGAATGAGTGCCAGTGAAGCCATCACTGTAAGCAACTGTGACAAGAATATGCTGCAGTTTAATCTTGCTATGCCATTTCCAATCTGCCTTTCTCTTTTTGATGTTGATGAATGGGGCCTAGGTAGAAAGGAAAGGTAGAAAGGAAATAGATTATATATGAGAAAGACATGCATGCATATATTTTTGCATCTTCATTATAAAGTGTCTCTCAGTTTATGAGTGTAGGCTGAAGTTACACTCTAGAAGAAATAGGATAATATCAATTTGAGGTCAGACTGTTCACTGCCTAATTCCTTCTGTTCTGCCTCATGTTTGATCTTCTGAAAATATAAGAGACCATTCACCTTTCTAAGAAACATGAGGGAGTCAGCCCTGGTAAACATTCTGGTGGATTGGTGGTGTTTTCTTTGTTGCAGCTGTGATCCAGATCACTTCTCTGCCCCTTTTACTGTGTATATTGTGGAAATGAAGCTTTGCCAGAAGCATCAGATACTATAAACTGCATCCAGGAGACATCATTAAATTACATCCCTCTTCAATGTGGATTATGAAGCTGTCTAGCTTTCACCGAATAACATTACTAGCTTAGGGTTAGGATCTGGTTCTAAAATTTTGGTTCTAAGTAGTTAGGCATTCAGAAATAAAGAATTCTGGAGACGTAAATGAGAAATCCTCTTTTTTTTTTCTCCTGCTAATAATCCCAATTCAAATTAATGAAAGAGGATTTGCTGTAGGAATTCTTTCCAAGGAAACAATATCTTAAATGAAGCATGATGTTGCTATACCCATTTCATTAACCAGGATGCATGTGTCTACTTAGTCTTTTGTGGATCATGTCTCCAGTAGTCTGAAGCCTCCTTGGTTCCCCCATGTTCCCCACTGAAGACATAATCAGAGATCTCCCCCATAAAGTATTTTCAGGAGCAATGTTGTCAAAGCTAAAGGAGTGACCTGTCCTTGTGAAAGTTTTGGAGAAATGGTGCTTCTCTTGAAAAAATTGCGGAAATCATCTATCACGTTTTCCTGTCTGAAAATGTGAATAATTGCAAGTATGATAGGCTGTCCTTTGTAGTTGTTTTTCAGTTTAGCCTAGAAGCCATATAACATTGTAGTGATTTATTAGATTATATTATACCCTGCCTTTTCTTCAGAAGCTCAAGGTGGCACACATGGTGTTCTTCTATTGACTGGGCTCAGGGAGAGAACAAATGGCCCCAAAATGCTCAGTGAGCTTCCATCAGGCCTTCAGTTTAGATCAGTGTTTCTCAACTTTGACAATTTTAAGGCATGTGGACTTCAACTCCCAGAATTCCATAGCCAGCAATGCTGGCTGTGGAATTCTGGGAGTTGAAGTCCACATGCCTTAAAATTGTCAAGGTTGAGAAACACTGGTTTAGATCTTGCTGCCAGTTTTGCTGCCTGAACTTGAGTAGAGCATGAAAAACAGTGACACTTCCTCTCTGCTTCTTTTCCACTGATGCTTATCCCCCACTCAGTGGTTCAGGTGGGCAAAGAAGTATAATGGTCTTTGGGAATGTCCTTGAAAGAGATGAAGAGCCGTAAGCTAGACAATAAGAGGCAGTTTAGTCTGCAGAAGACTAAATGGGAGTATAGCAAACATCTCAGAAGGGACCTTCCCTAGTTTCTTAGGTGTAAAAGCAAAGCTGGGGGGGAGGAGGGGAAGATGTATTTTCAGACTTGCAAGATTGATGTTAGCCCTTAGAAGGAGCCCAGACAAGAAGCACCCACCATGAGTGCTAACACTACATATTTCTTTATTATCTTTTGTTCTTGAGCAGCTGTGTTGGTAGATGAGTACCCATCATCCTGGCAGCATCAGCAGCTGAAGTCCTTTCAGTTGACAGCATTGCCAGTTTACTGTAGATCTGGCACTTAAGATACTAAGAGTCTGTCTTCTTGTCACAACAGAGATGCTTTGGGAGGCTTTTAAGAGGAAAAAAAAAGCCTTTCCATTATCACTCAAAAGCACACCACTAAATCTGAGTCAAAACACCACAGCACCTGCAGGTTACCTATCGTTTTTATCAATGCTGTAAGCTTTCCCAACAGATGGCTATTACTTAAATGGGAAAGAAACATAGCTTTCCTCAAGTGGAAGGAATGGAAAGCAAAGATTATAGTGATTTGTCTGGGATCAGCAGGGTTCCTTTCCTTCAGCTGCTAGATGTTTGGTATGCAGAGGGGGGCAAATCACCCTCCAGATATATTCAAGTGCTCAGTCCTGCAACATTCAGAAGACTGAATTCAATGAAATTGTAGATGCCTTGACATTAATCCTAATATAAAGAAAGGAGCCACTACTGAGAATGCCACAGCTATCCATTCATGTCTCTGCTAGCACTGGTTTTGATCCTATTAATACAGTAATATCTGCTGGTAGTTATAAAAACAAAACATCGCAATGACTTTTTGTATCAAGGGAACACAAGTGAGACTAGCACATTTGTTGATAACCTTTTAATTTCCCCCCCAAAAAAATTGGTCTAATAACAGATGAATCAGAACAAAGGGACAAGATTGTTCCATGCTGTCAGGTCTAATGGCTGTCAGCTCTGTGTGAGAAAATGAATCTTCTTCATATTTCACAGGTTTCAGTGCTTCTGTTCTACTCTCTATTGACTCTATCTGAATTATCCCTTTTGGGGCCAAAAGCTTATTAACTGTTTAGAAGGTGTACTAACAGGAAGCTCCTCTTTTATTTAAAGATTTTTTTTAACCCCGCTTGTATTACTTTTATAAATAAGTCAAGGTGGCAACCATACCTAATATTCTTTCTTCTTCCTCTTTTCCCCACAACAACAGTCCTATGAGTTGGGCTGAAAGAGAGTCACTGGCCCAAAATCATACAGCTAGCTTTCATGCCTAAGGTGGACTAGAACTCAGTTTCCTGGTTTCTAGAGTACCTTAACCACTAGACCAAACTGCCTCTCATGCAATTTAAAATATGCATTTGGAGTAATATCAGTGTTATTGTAAGCCTCCTGGTATATCTGCAAATACATTTTCCCACCATTTCAATTAGCTCTGGGCACTGGGTTTTCAAGGTGTGCCTAATGCTGAGTCAAAATACAACCCCAACTGTGTTATTTTTCTACCCTGAAATAAAGCAAACGGCCCCTCGATTTCAGTGCTCCAGGTTGTAACTTTCTATAGTATCAACTATGGAATAGTATCAGATTTGTTCCTCTGTTCTTGTTTTATTCAGAATATATTAGAGCAGTTGCACCCAACCGGTTCCATGGAGGGCAGTTTTTCCATGGACCAGTGTTGTTTCACACACTGCCTGATCCTACACATGCACAAATGGGGCTTCACTCACTTGCACGGTCTGGTTCCTGGAAGGCCACAGAGTGGTGCCGATCTGCAGCCAAGGGGTTGGGACCCCTGGGCTAGAGTACATTGCTATCTTCACTCTGACTTGGCCTCATTATTATACTCTGCTATTTTATATGTAAGTCAAGGCAGCGAACATACATACATTTTTCTCCTCCTATTTTCTCCATGACAAAAACCTTGTGAGGTGGGTTGGGCTGAGAGAGTGATTGGCCTAAAAGCACTCAGCTGACTCTCATTTTTAAAGACAGTTTTCTGATGCCATAAGCGATTACCTTGCTATGAACATGAACAGATAAGTAGAACAGATGCACATATCTGCATAGAAATCCACTATGAATTTATCCTATCATTTGCAGAAGAGAGAGAACTCTTTATTGGTAAAAGAAGTATAATCAAGGTAGATAAGTATAACACATAGCTGTGCAGACAGATTCTTTATAGATCCTGAATAATCTCTCCATGAGACAAGTAAGATGAACATATTACATTACCTTGACTATTCACAGCTTATATTCCTTTTTTCTGAGAAGTATAGCTGAGCAGAAGGTTGGATCTATGACAGGTGGGTTTAGCAGCTTCCCAAGCTTAATGTACAATGAGGTTCAGAAAAGGTATCCCTGGGATCTGTCTGTCTTTTATAACTTCTCACTGCATAAATTGTTTACAGTCTAAAAATGGAAGACATGACCTTCAGCACCAGCCTTGAGTAGTGTAAATAACCAAGATAAAGTGTAAAAGCAAGGATGAGAAATATGACCTGCCAAACTCCCAGAACAATTAGTCACATGAGAGGACAAGAAGGGTGTGTGGAAACAGGCAGCTAATAGAATAGTTCTCTCAATGCTATTTCCTCAATACTTTTCTGCAGCTCTACTATAATGGAACCAGAGCTAAAAAATATGGCAAGGTGTCTCTCCCTCCCTTTCACACAACGTAATGCCTAAAAAAACAGATAACATTTTCCAGAGGTCAAAGCTGAAACTTTTTAAAGGTTTTTTTTTTAATTCATCCAATGACAGTAAGCTATCCTAGATTTGTAAGTTGCTTATCTCTGAGTTATATTATAATATTTCCTTGAGGGGAGGGGGTCACTAATCCTTTCCTTATTTACTTCAGCCTAATTTTACCCAGTGTCCTAGTGACATCAATGAGATGTTCAATTAAGCTTGGCTAGGATTGACGGTAATATAGAGGAGTTCATAGCTTCTATCTGCTCTTTTGCAAATTGCAAAATTGGGGAGATAAGCTATGATAGATCAGTTATGCTTTTCTAAAGGTAATTTTTTTCCACTGAAGAAAGATGTCTTCCCTTATGATTAATGTGCACAGAATCAGCACCGCAGAGTATAGCTGACAGTGGGGGGTATTTCCAAATATGAATTATATGATTGGGGGAGGGATGGGGTTTAGGCATGTGATCTTGACAAAAAACAGATGACAAGAAAACAAGAACCCTATTATTTCTCTTATGAATGGTTAAACATATTAGATCAGGCTGGTAGTAGATATTAGATCATGCTGGCAATGGCTAAAATGACTTGTTTGATCAAGAAGGGAATGACAACTATTTTTATAAAAGATTGAAAACCCCACTGTGGATTCCTTTGTTTAAACAATGCCATTTATTAGAACCATAGTGACATTCAGTTCAAAGCAATATATGATATGATCCACTTCATTTGGTCAGCATCAGATTGGAGTATGTAATCAAAGTTGAAGGTCTGCTAATTTTCTGTCATTGTTTCATTTAAAATCCATCCGAAGGAAAAGCCCCATCATTTTATCAGTTTTTTTCTAAACATGCCCTTAAAAAGTTTGTTGAAGCACTGTGATTACATGTCACAAGAGAAGAATGGTGTTTTGCAGAAGATACTTCAAGAAACCATTGTTTGTAGCATGCTTGCCAGATCAATAAAACAAAAGAGAATTGTGCCGGAGAGAATCTGAATCATGAACTAAGAGAAATGAAGCACTGATGCTTCATTTTTGAAGATGAAACAACCTTCCTCAAAGCATGAAAATTCAGTCTGGGATAACTGATTATTGCTGTCAGTGTATGACTCATGAAGACTGATGTAACACAGTGACTGCTAGTTTTTAGAGAGCATGTTTAGTTCAATGGCCAAGATACTGAACTGTGAACTATTAAATTCTTTCTTCAAACATCATGTCTTAAGTGTCTTAAGTGAGTTGCATTTAAGCCACACATTTTGGCTCCCAATGCAAATGTCAGGGAGCACTAGAAGTATTCTTACAACACCAACATTAAACCTACATGCCACTTCATATCTAACTGAATATAATGCTCCAGAAGTATACAAACTAGGGATAATAAGACCGATTTACTTTACAGGATTGTAAGGAACATTGTTGAAATAATCCTCAATGATGCTCTTATTAATTTTAAACATTATCACCATTCAGCAAATGGACAAAAAGTACTCTATATGTATTTAGTCAAATGCTCACTTTTTTCACTGCTTCATATGGTCTGGGTATGTGGCATTAAAAACATACCTTCAATCTCCACATTAGCATAATGTATGCTTGAGCAACAACACAAAATATACCAATTCCTTTAAAGTTTGTAACTCTTGATAAGGCTGGCATATTTGTTTAGGGTCTTCTCATCCCTTTACTATATATTTCCTTTCCTCTCACAGATTCTCCTGTGACTTGAAATATCACACATTAATCAGTTGAAAACCATCTTGCTTTAAAATAAGTAGTATTTAATGCAAATAGAGTATAGTATGAAAATCTCTTTTATGGATGCTCTTTTTCAGTCTTGTTAAGGACAACTAATACCAGATTTCCATCTGCCTATTGGCTAAGACAGTTCATTTAACCTGATGCTCTGCAGATATATTCAATTTTTTTTCATATCAGCCCTAGCTTAGAGCTATGTATGATGTATTAGTGGGGACCCAGTTGAAAAAGGGTAAGTCAACTGAAATTTGAGACAACACACTTGATATCCAGCTCAAATCTAGCTTTGTCCTTTTCCAGTAATAATTGAAACTTGTATAGCTCACTAACTCATAGAAAATGCAAGCAAAAGGAAAACAGATCATACTTTAGTGTGCATCACATAGGCATAGACATCCACAGGTAGGAGGGAAGAAAAAGTGATAAAATGTGTGTCACAATGTGGCAATGCAAACTCCACCCTTTATAAATGTGCACACATTACAATACAGTGTGAAAGAGTACAGCATATTTCATCACTTCTGTTTACTTATGATTAGGAACAGAGAAACAAAGAAAAAAGGTCTGAGTATTTTGAAAGCACATAAACAGCCGGCTTCTCCAACTCTGTATCTAAGTGCAAAACTTTCTTTAACCTATTTCTAAGCTCATTAGTAACCAATTCTCAATACGTTGTAGCAGAATTGCAAGTTTAGATGCCTGTACGGTCTCCATCTGAGTATAGATGCTTTTATTTTCCTTGAATTTGTTTCTTTGGGGTGTGAATTAATAACTTTCCAATCCATTAACTGCAAGCCCTTCTTGGATGCCATTTTTTGAATTATCAGCTCTTATCTAGCCTGCCTCCTATTTTACAGATAACTTTCCATGTTTCTAATCATTTTATGTAGAAGAAGATGCCCCACAGCATATCCTGGTTGTTATATAAGGACATAATTTGTAATTTGCTCACTCTGAAACAATTTAATGAAGAACATATTTCAAACCTCCTTCTGTTTCTCAGATAGCTCTGTTGTCAATTATAATTACGGCAACAAAAAGTTTAGTGGCCTAATAAAGATTAATAGAATTTTAGGGGCGTAAGCAATTCCCAGACTAGAGACCACTGCCTCAGATGAAATGGGTTTTAGTCCATTAGAAACCCATGCCACAATCAATCTGTTAGCTTCTGTGCTGAACAAGATTCCCAACAATTTTCCCTCTAACAAATTAACATGGTGATACTTCCCTCTCTTCAAATATACCCCATTAAGAACGCTGAATGAAGGGTTCGGCTGTTACATGTCTCCTCCCTCCAAGCAGTACTCAAACAAACCACATGGTGGCACCTCTGTTCTGCTAAAACACCTTTGAGGAGTGCTTGATCTGATTTGGTATGCAGGCAGCCACTTCGTACACAATCTTTTTTTAATGACAGCTTTTTTGAGGCTACTTTAAACACTCCTGGATACCAGAGAGCAGTCCCCCTCATTGAGAAGGAAAAACAGCTACAGTAGCCTCAGCAAATTATTTCCAGTCAGTGTCCCTGCATATTGATAGAATATGGCCAGTCTAAATACATCTCATTGTGGATCTTTAATATTCATATTAAAGGAGAAAAAAGAGCAGCGTAAAGCTTAGAGAAGAGGGCACAATGTTGTTAGCTATGCAGTTCCATCATCAGCCTTATAGCTGCTGCTGATAAAACTGTAGCCCAGAGGTAGGGCCCATGCTTTGTGTTAGAAGATCATAGATCAAGGGTCTTCAGACTTGGCTCTTTTATGACTTATTGACTTCAACTCCCAGAATTCCTGAGCCAGCCATGGCTGGGGAATTGAAGTCCACAAGTCATAAAAGGGCCAAGTTTGAAGACCCCTGTCATAGTTTTTCTAGCATCTTCAAGCACAACTTGGAAAGACACCTCTAGAAAGACTGCCAGACAATATGGAGCTGGCCAAGGATCTAACAAAAGGCTGCTTCTTGATTATATAAATTGATTGCATTTCAGAAAGACAGTGATAAAAGAGTAGGAAATATAGTTGTCACACCATTTCCTGCCACCACAATCAAGAACCATGGCTTGAAAATTTGACATCTCTAAGTTGCACACTCCTGAATCATAGTTGAGTTTTGGGAAGCCGTTTCCAACTTTCTGAAATGCAAGTCTTAATTTCAGCCAGGATTAAGCCAAGGAATGTTGTATTCAGATTTGAATGCAACTTCCACTGCCATTTCTCTTGAACCAATCTAAAATATTACACCTATCCTCTCATAATTTTGTAACATGTAGTTGCTGCTTAGAAAATAATGTCAGAGAGAAAAGTCTATACCGAAGGCACATATACCTTTTTAAGGTATAAAATGCATTTTATTAGGTGAAAACTATCAGCAAAACCTGTGTTCAGAGGGCAAAACTAAAAAGAAATACATGTATTCTATGTCTGAAGAATTATTCATAAAAATTTCATACACATTTTAGTATGTGCTTGGTTAAAAAACAAACAAACTGTTATGAGAATAATAGCTTTTGTATAAAGGCAAACATGGACAGATTTGCACATCTTTATTCAACCACAGAATCTTCTTTCATCTCACATCTCAGACTCAGAATATAGAAAGCATTCTTGAGGACAATCTGCCCAGAAAGGAACTCATAGCATTTCCCAGATCATTAAATCCCAGAAACATATAATGTACTGCAGATTAAAGACAGGACTACAACAAAGAGCATCCTTTCTAAGCAGCTAAGACTAAAAAGTGTGTTACTTTCTAGTGATTCAGCAACAGATTAAAATAAGAAAACTAATAAGGCTGCATGCCAATGTTTGACTTGTAAGGGAACTGATCACATGCCAGAATTGTACAGCTTGGGAAAAGTCTCCCATTACCCCTTGTTTGTCTCTGAGAGGGACAGAAGAGCTCCATTGTGAAATGCCTTCTGTGTAACCAGGTATGAGAGCTCTCTTTTCTTGGCAAGCTATCTGCAAAGAAACAGCAGATGTTGTCTGGATTTAGCATCCCAAAATAAACAAGGTAGGAATCATAATCTGATGAGCTAACTCTACCTTATTGTAAAGCTACATTGACTGGATCTCACAGATCTGAAAATACAATTCTCTCTCCTCATCCTGTCTCCTTCATAGTCCAAAAAAAGTAGTGAGGTAGGCTCCAACCCTCCTATCCTTTTGTAAGGGCCTAAAGAGCTGGCTCTACCAGTTGGCCTG